AAGGAAGGTAGGAAGGAAGGAAGGAAGGAAGGAAGGAAGGAAGGAAGGAAGGAAGGAAGGAAGGAAGGGTCTGTTCCTGTAACACGCTCCCTACTTCTCAGAACAGCGAGCTCGGGTTGCCACCAGACACACACACCCCCGGGCCCTAGGGATGCCAGCCTCTAGGGGACCCAGGGAAATGCTTTTAGGATTGCAGCCTACAGATGTGGGATGTCAACGACTCCCTTTTGTGGTAAATGCCTTCCTCTGAGCAGACGCCGTCGACGAAAGAGGGAGTGTGTGCGTGCACACGAAAGCTCATACCTTGAATAAAACTTTTGAGTTTTATTTTCAGTCCTTGAAGAGAGAAATGCGGCTATCGCGTATTTTTGACGGGGCGCTGGTATTAAACAGATTTAAAACGTAATAAGATGTTTTTAAAATATCTGTTCCATGTAGACAAAGGTCGGGCCTCCCTGTGTCACTGGGCTCAAATCTTGTTAAAAAGGTAAAGGTTTCCCTTGCTCGAAAGCCAGTCGAATCCGACTCTAGGGTGGCGGTGCTCATCTCCGTTTCAAAGCCGAAGAGCCAGCGCTGTCCGGAGACGTTTCCGTGGTCATGTGGCCGGCATGACTAAACACCAAGGCGCACGGAACGCTGTTACCTTCCCACTGAAGTGGTACCTATTTATCTACTTGCAATTTCTTGCTTTCGAACTGCTAGGTTGGCAGGAGCTGGAACTAGAGACGGGAGCTCACTCCGTCATGCGGCACACTCGGGTCTCGAACTGCTGAACTACCGGCCTTCCACAGCCTGCAGTTCAGCGTCTTAACCACTTGAACCACCGCAGCTCCTTATCAAATCTTGTTGGGACAGGGTAAATTATTATTATTTATTAAAAAAAATTAAACAACCAGTAGTACCGCAAAAAAAACCCAAACACTGAGATGCATTACAGACACGCCAGAACAATATTTTAGAAGTGAAAACGCGAGAACTCTCGCATCTTTATTAACCCTTTCAAAGCCAAAATGCCTCCAGAACACTCTGGAACAGGCCGGAGCAGACATTAAACAACCTATAGTACCGCAAAAACCTATCCTATCAAATTCACACAATCATTTCCCAGAAATCCACATTACTTTCCAAGGTGGTGGTGTTCTCCATCCCGTTCATCGAGGACAAGAATGTGCTGGATGAATGAGCTTCAGCCTAGATCCGTGCAACTCCCCCCGCCCCCAGATTTCTCTTCTACACCTTCCGCTTCCCACTGGAGTACTTTCCTTCTCGGATTATGGAAATGCTCCCAGCAGTTGCCTTTGCCAATGAAAAAAAGGTTTTTCGACAGTGCAAAAAAGTCGCTTTGCCTTCTGCCAATGGGAAATAAAAGTCTGTATGAACACGGTAAGGAGAAGATCCAAAGGAACCGACAGATTTTTTTTTTTGGGGGGGGTGCCATTTGCTTCCTGTCATTTAAAAATCCCGTGGCACTTTTTGGAAGCAAGCCTAAGCAGATCTACTCAAAAGTAAGCCCCACTGTGTTCATGGGGGTTTACTTGCAGGAAAGTGTTTTTAGGATTTCAGCCTGCACTTGTTGGACGTCAATACCGCCTTTTCGTGGCATATCCATTCATCTGAGTCGTACCCTGACCGAAGCAGGCGTCCAACTGGCAGACCTATAAACAGAGTCGCGCACTACTGCTAAGCCCACTGACTTCAGCGTAACGCTGCTTAGAGTGGCGTTGTAACAGTAAATAATTAGTTTTTAAAAAATTATTGAAGGAAAAACTGGCCATTCAACAGTACCTAATCCAAACAGATCAGGCTGAGAAAGCGCTGTCCAGCCCAATCGAATTCCTTTCCTGCTGACTCCGAGGCAAGTCCACCTGTGTCCGCTTCTTTCCAGTCGCTTGTGCCTG